TCTGTCTGTCTGTCTCTCTCTCTCTCTCTCTCTCTCTCTCACCCCAACTGGTCGAGGCAGACGAAAGGATCTGTCCTAGGTTTCTGCCTTTTAACAGGCAGTTTTTCCTTGCCCTTGTCGCCAAGTGCTTGCTCATGGTGGTACTGTTGGGTCTCTGTAATTAATGTTATAAAGAGTTCGGTCTAGACCTGCTCTATTTGAAAAGTGTCCTGAGATAACTTCTGTTATGAATTGGCGCTATACAAATAAAATTTTATTTAATTGAATTGATTCTTGTCCATTCTTTTGGTGCAACACAATACATTAATTTACATGGAATTTAATAAAAATACTCAATATCATATTAATACTTAATTTTTTGGGGGGATCTTATGGTGGTTGTGAGATCTTCAGATTGTGGCAGGTAGATATATATTTGGCTGCTGGAGGAGCTTTTGTCCCTTCACCAAAGAGAACTGCAAGTCTTCTGGGGTAATATTAGAAAATCAGATGTAGTGGAAATTTCTCAGTGAACTTCTCTGTTCTTTTTCTGATGTTGAACAGTGAGTACATACACGCTCCTCTCAGGGCAGGAGGAGCTGTCTGTGTCTTCCAGTTTCTGGAAGTTTTTCTCAGTGGTCACTGAGCCTGTATCTGGTCAGGCTCATTCAATTTCAATTTCAAATGAACATGTTTTTAATGGCATGAATGTTACAATACAATACAATAATACAATTATTGCCAAAGCCCTAATATTTGAAAACAACAACAAACACAATTTTAATATATATATATATATATATATATATATATATAATAAAGTCCATTAGGAATACATTTCACAAAAGTTCATTAAATACCATAAAATAAGAAAATACTAGCAAACAGAAAATGTGTGTATGTGTGTGTGTGTTCTGTATGTATAGCAAGATATTGATTTGTCACATTCAGTAATATTTTTTCAATGTCTGTCCCTCAGTTTGTGACATGAAGTCACATATTGTGCAGCTAGGTTTGCTGCATGTCCCTCTCATAATAACATCTTTATTTTTTAATTGTCTTTTAACTTTTAAAGGCTGGCATTTTTGAATTAAATGTATTATAGTATTCCCATCTGACGTTATATTTTTCACATTTTAAGAGAAAGTGCATCTCTGTGTCAACCTCACCTGTCAGTGACCACAGATTATTTCCTCTGTTTGTAGCCAGGACTTCTTTTGTGGTCTTTTCTCTATGGTGAGACTGTGGTCACTGAGTCTGTTTGGTCAAGATCTGTCTCTGCGTTGTATCCCTGACAGTAAATAGATAGCCTCTATGGGATGCTAGTGTAGTCCTGATTACACAATCAAATATTTTAGACCAAATTCTATATATTTTTCATTTTGTAAAAGTTTCTGCTGAATGTATAAAAAGCTCTGCACGCTTTTAGTTTTCAGTTCATTCACTGCCAGACCAAAGTTACCTGACACACTGATTCTGAGCCCCAGGTAATCCTAATATAGGCTGTGATCTAGATGGGTGTTTACTAATTTAAACCTCCATATAAAGCTATTGGTACAATTACATAATCAAATGTATTACTTCGAACAATTTAAGCATGAAAAAATATTAGATTTGAGGACAAGTAGCTTAAGTATTTATTGTTAAGGTAACTTAAGTAAATTAAGTTAATTGTTCCAATTTCATTCAGGTAAATGCAGCATTTCTCCAAACTTAGGTCAAATGTGCTATTTTTCTGAATAAAGAAAGAGTAGCTTTAATGCATCTTCTTAATACAAATGTTACGACTTAAATTTAATCTAATGAAATCTTCCACTAAAGCAAATTATTACATGACCTGTCAAACAGCTGACCTCTTATTATTTGCAATTAATCAATTATCAAAATGGTAGCCAATTAATACGGGAAAATCTGTCAATGGAACAAACAGGAATTAAATCACCAAAACTTAAAATTCTGCACTAATTTAAATGCACTCAAAACAACTAAGTTATTACTTCAACAATTTGTTTTCTAGTTGGGTTTAAGTCATGGGAATGAGTGACTTTAGTTTTATTTGAGGATTAATCTATGTTAACTTACTGTGTTGTTAGGATGTACAGCGTAAAGCTTATACCTTATGAGTCTCTCAGTTGGTTTGTTATTTTATCAATATTGTAGGAAAACGGTTCAGTGCCCAGTGCCCAAACTGCCCACAGCACGTTAGTTACATTACTTTTGTGGCGTTGTTAGCACTATAGCATGGTATTTGTCATGGTATTGGATTTCTCCAGAATCACTTACCCCACCTTTAATGGTAATGAGACAGGCCAATAAGTATTTTATTCCCTGTATCTATGCCCAAAACCACTGGTTTAATTGTCTTTGGGTTAGTTATAGAGAGCAGTATATTACAGACACACAAGGCTATTTTATGATCTTTTTCACTAACTGAGCTTCTGCACAGACTAGACTAGACTAGAAAGGCGCTATACAAGTACAGGTCCATTTACCATTTACCATTACCACAGGGCTTAATGACTATCGCAAACAACAGTAGGGATAATGGGAATCCCTGCCCAAGGGGAAGTAGGAGGATTCACTCTTACCAAGTCATTGACACTGTGGTTTCAAATGTTCCTTTTTCCTCAAATCTGCCAGGATTGCAGAACACAGAGAGGCACTTCCTGGAAGCAATGTGCATTGTTCTTAAATTAGGAGTCAGTGGATGAGACAAGTGTCAATGCAGGGAATCATGAGTATCTTTATCAGCATGAGTCATCATATTTGTTTTCTTTCAGTTATGGATTACATGCAGTGAGGCAATAATAGGGTGTCACAGAATATTGGGAAATTACATTGTTCACTGTTCACACAGGATGAAGAATGCAGCTGTTTAGCAGCAAGAAAGCAACATGGCCCAACAGCCTGGACACAGCCTGTGAGAGCAGTGTGTGACAGCTGCCTCGCTGAACTGCTGCAGCTACCACGCATTACATATATTTAGGCATTGAAACTATGGTGAAAGGTGAACATTCTGCTGGTGTAATGTCGATATGACTATCAACAGAATATTTTCACTGTTTATTTTTTCGGGAACTTGTCTATGCAGCCCATTTGCAGTCACTCACACAGGCAGTGTGGCTGCTCTAACCTGTTAACATGGGCACACCTAGCATCCAGCTGCCAGTACTTCCTCAAAGGACGCTGATTGGTCTTGAAGAATTCTTGTTTTGTTGCTGCGTCTATAGCATCTTGTTGTCTCCGTGATGTAAGCTGAATCACTTTATAACAGATCCACGCATTTTAGTTCAACATTTACGAAAACAGTAAATGCTAACACGATGCTCAGAAAGCAGTATGAGTAGGGACTGTGGTTTCAGAAACTCCTTTTTGCCCAAACGTGGGTTACTAGCGGCCAGGATTGCAGGAAAAAGAAAGCCCAATTCTCAGAAACTACATGTACATGTACATGTTCTGTAAACCACAGCCTTTCGAGACGTACATTTCGAGTGAAAACCCCAGTTGAGGTTTAAACCTGAAGCAGCAGGTTGAAACCAACCAGAATAATATAATCTAGGTTTGGTTCGCAGGTTAAAGTTACTTTGCTCAGTTCTTTACTCAGGTTTCATCAGAAATTCTATGCTAGCTAAAAAAGGTAGCCAAAGTACTGAGCGATTAGCTTAGACCTCACAGCGGCTGGTTGTAAGTAAAGGACCAGTGTGTAGGATTTCATGATATCTAGCGGTGAAGATTGAAAACAGCTCAGCCTTCCAAAAACTCCCTATCTAGAGCCAGAATTTGGTTTGTCCATTCTGGGCTACTGTAGAAACATGGTGGACTCCACCTCTGTAGATTAAAACGTTTCTGTCTTTGATGAGCAGGCGGCACCTTACATCAGACTGTGAATAGGTGGTATAAAGTGCTTTGAGTGGTCAGAGGACTAGAAAGGCGCTATACAAATGCAGTCCTTCTGCAGAAAAGGTGCATCTACCTCATCTTTCTTTATCTGGGAGGAACAATTCCTCCAGAGAATATGTTACCCAACTGACCGATTCAATTACTAAATACCTACACAAAGAATTGAATCACTGTAGGGTCTATTACAAGCATGTTGAGAGTGACTGTGGAGAGTTTGTTTTTAAATGACTCACTTACCTCACTGTGACTGGTAACTCAGCAGTGAATCGTCACTGTATTCAGTAGAAGTTCAAATGAACTTTTAGAATCATACAAACCTTCACGTTTACACAGGTTGCGGACTTCACTGATGACAGAACAGGATGTGACCTCAGCATCACTATCATCAGCTGTGCACTTTGGCTCGAGTTTCACAATCACAAACTCTAAGTTTAAAAAAAGCCTGATCCTTAAAAAAGCTTCCATCTAAGCCTCTCACTTCCTTTTGAATCATGGTGCTCAGAGTGGTGTTGTTTTAGTGTTTTTTGTGTGCCGCTTGTGTAAGTAGCGAACTGTTTGCTAACATAATAGCCATGTCAAACAACCCAATTAATTTTTCTTCCATTTAAACTGGAGTCAACCTGCCAGATTTCTCAACTCTCATCTCTTTGTTTTTGTTTCCATGGGTTTGTACCATAAAAATGTTGATTGTCTAATGGCAGAAATCGAATATAATATTCATAGGTATGTTTTCATTAGTGTGTAATCATCTGAAAGAAGAATCGAAAATAAGAAAAGCTGTGTTTTTGTAACCTTAGAATGAACCATTTTTATCACCATATCTCTATAGAATGGACAAATTCAATTTAAGTTTAAGTTTCACAGCCACCATAGTTTCTGCTACACAGTTGGAAGGCTGAGCTGTTGTCAGTCTTCACCACCAGATATAATTGAATCCTACACACTGGTCCTCTAATAACAACCAGCTGCTACTGAATTTTAAAGCTAGGAAAACATGTTATTGATTAAACTATAGACAGTTTCTTCCCACCAATTCTTGAATAGAGAATACAAAAGCTAAACTTTTTGTGAAAGAATGTTCATCATCCTGTGTTTGGATATTCAAGAACCAGACAATCATATTACTGTAACACACATGCATGTTTATTGCACATCAAACCAGTGGCCATAAGTTGGAGGATGACAAGAATGTGACAATAAGATATCTAGACAGTTCCTCTCCCAGGCATGTAACAACACACTAAATTAATAACATGATAGCAACAGGAAACACAGCTCATAAAAACAACTGTGATTAGAAATCCTAGATTCATTTACACACACACACACACACACACACACACACACACACACACACACACACACACACACACACACACACACACACACACACACACACACACACACACACACACACACACACACACACACACACACAGTAAATGGCTGTTTTATCCAATCAGAGCACACTAGTTTCTACAATTAGCATGCTGCAAATGCTGTGTTCTTGTTAGGTTAAAAAAGAAAGGGGATATTCAAAGTTCTGACAAAATAATCTTAACTCACAGTACTCCGCTGAAAACATATATATATATACACACACACACACACACACACACACACACACACACACACAGACACGTAATCACCTGAAAGAAGAGTCGATGATAAGAAAAGTTGTGTTTTTGTAACCTTAGAATGAACCATATCTAGACAAATTAAATACTGGTTCTAGATGGGCCTTTTGTGTTCGTCATAAGTTTCACAGCCACCATAGTTTCTGCTACACAGTTGGAAGGCTGAGCTGTTGTCAGTCTTCACCACCAGATATAATTGAATCCTACACACTGGTCGTCTAATAAAATAAAGTAATATAGAATATTATTTGCAACCAGGTTTTCACTGGTGAATAATCATCTGAAAATAGGAATCATTGTGTTTTTGTTACCTTAAAATGATCATTTTATAAAGAAAGACAGCGTGGGTTGTCTTCTACGGAGTCCGCCAAACAACACAAACACTGGCTCTAGATAGGGCCTTTCGCATTTTTCGCATGGCCACCATAGTTTCTCTTTCGCAATTGGAAGGGGAGGGTAAAGGGGGAGTTGCAATCTGCAACTACACAATTAGATGCCATTAAATCCAATACATTGGTCCTTTAACCCTCAAACATAAAATCAGTTATAAACAATTTTGTTCCCTGGTGCTATTTTGCTGTTTCAGAAAACAATTCCGCAACAGACCAGGAAAAACCTAGTCTAAAGTCAGTGGCGCTTATTCAGATTTTAAGGGCGCATGCTTGGCCATGATGTAGTGTGTGCGCAACGTGCATACACTTTGCTTCTCTCATCTACAAGGAAGCAGTTCCCATTTTTGCAAACCATACATAATTACACGGAAAAATATTAGTATGTACTAAAATATTATTAGTAAAGTATATCTTTGTGACATTTCTTTATTTACATTTTGTCAAACAGAAAAATCAATAGCAAACTGTTGGTAAATGAACAAAAAAACAAACAAAAAAACAAACAAATTGAAAATGAAAAGTTGAAAAGATTTAAACAGAAGAACTAATTATTTTTCCCTCTCATAGGCATGCGACGTGCGCTACGGCGGGATTGGACACATCAAGGTCCGGGAGTGGCAATGCGCAATGTGCTCCTGGTGGAACAGGTGGACGGAGATGGAGTGGGGGGGAACGCTCCTGGCGTGCCCTGGCAAATCTGCCATTATAATAGCAATCCGCCATTGAACAAGCACGCCTGCTTTTAAAGGTAATGTGAGATGACGCTCTGATTGGTTTATTGTACGTTACGCCCAAACCACACCTATGAGTAATGTAGCTACTTCAGACCAACCCATTTTAGATTTGCGTCGGGCGCAAGAGTCATTTATCCTGCCGGCATAATAGCAACAGCGCCCGAGATCCGCCAACAAAGCTACTTGCGTTTTGCGTTTGATACTTGCGTTTCAGATCGGCAAGATAGAGCCCCAAATGTTTAAAGCATCGCTAGCGCCCCCCAGAGGCATGCAATGGCGAATACACTCAAAATATAAAAACACACTGCTGTTGTTACTGCCTTATCACTGATAGAGCTAAAAATATAAAATGCAGTCCTGAAGGTGGTGTTGGAGGAAGGAAGGAAGGAGTGAAATTTTTTCTTATGTACTGAGGGATATTTTAGCCTGACCTCAGGGAGTCACAAAAATATTCAGCATCATCCACTGGGAACAGTTGGGATCTCAGATACAGTAGATACTCTAGGTGCTATTAATAGCATGTTGGGAAGTGAAATCACATTGGGGATTCCCTTTGAAAGACTTACAACGCTACACACTATGACTCACACTTATTGCACTCTCACTGGTGAGGTAAACCATCCAAACAAGCACTTTACATCATCTGTAGTTAGATATAATCAAAGAGTCAACAACACTCTCACAAGTTGATGAGTAATTCCTTTATCTCTGCTGTGACTTGTTCTGTACATCACCAGCTCATCTCTGGTAAACAGAAATCTCCCTGCTGCCACACTTATACAAATGACAGATCAAATAATTCTACCTCTGTGGAAAATGTTACTTTGCCTGCCATCTCACTACAAGCTTTGTAAACTAAGGGGATTTCCTCTGTCAGGGAGCTGGCAGGCTGCCAGTCAAATGAATTCAAAGTGCGTGGGACCTTAAATACGTTACATAGTCACAGATCAGAGTTGATTAAAATAAGCAAACAAGACATGAATCAGCTCCCACAGTAGAAGTGCCATGTTCCTGTTGGATGTTAAGTGGTGATTGCTAATTTCCTCCAGGTACCACAAACTGCTGCTCTCAGTTGCAAAACACTTAAGTGCAGAATGGCATGGCTTACAGTCATATTTTTACAAGTTTGAGGTTGGAAATTTCTATCATGTTTCTCCACACATGCTTCAGAAATTCGCATTTAATGGCAGAATGAGTAGGACTTTCCTAAAAAAAAAACGCCAACAACAACGCGCAGGGTGTGACAGCGGGACTAAAAAACTTATCACCCAGCTGCCAGATCGTAAGCACACATCCAAGAGGAGCTTCTGGTGTTGTTGAGACGTGAAGGAGGAACCAACTTTCAATGTGGTGTTTAGAAACCGCAAACCGACAAACCCTAATCATTCTGCTCTTAAAGGGACACTTCAGCCCAAAATCCAAAATCCTTTTCCTCTTCCCTGTAGTGTTATTTATCTATATTATGTTTTTTAAATATTGGCCATAGAGATGTCTACCTTTTCTCCAGACTAATGGAACCAGATGGCACTTGAATAGTGGTTCGCAAAGCGACAAAAAAGTCCATTAAAATTCAACAGCAATGTCACTTTCCAGAAATCATGACCCAGTTACTCAAGGTAATGCACAGACCTTGCTGTGAGCAGTCATGTAGAAATGTTTTTTCTTTACATACACAGAAGGAAGTGTGCGTCTACTCATGGACGAGAGCCTCGTAACAGCGCAGGATATAAACATTCATGGCGTCCTCCTCGGCTGAGCTGTAACGTTAGCTAGCTCAAAAATACGCGCTCAGTCTGTGCAGTGATACAACCGGTGGATATAGTTCAGTAGAAAGCAAATAGTTCCTACACTATCTGCTTTGAGCACCCCAAGCCGTGTGTCATCTGATTCCAGCTAGAATGGAGACATCTCTATGGTCAATATCTCCAAAACTCAGCAACTCACACTACAACTATCTAGATGTATAAATTGCACTACAGGTAAAAAATATGTATTTTTTGATTTGTCTGAACTATGAACCAACCAGCTATAGCACCTGACTCTGAGTACACATTATGTCAAGTTGTCTGCGAGAGTCACGAAAGCCTGAGGGAGGGAAGTGTTGGGCAAGGAACTCACGTACGGGAACACATACTGTGTACTATAATAATTTCACAATCTTACAGCTAAGTTTCATTACACTGGTCAAATGATGTGGTTTTGAATCAAGTTCTGCATTTGAAAAATACAACCAAACCTTCCAAGCTTCCCAGTTGGTATGTTCCACCACTACAAGGTTTACAAACAACCCAACATAAAAATAGAGATTTTCTATTCCATTTGAATTTAAAGTCATTGTCAGCAAATGATAGGTGTATTTGTATTGCTGAGTGTTAAGAACAAATGATGAAATACACAGTTTTGCTGTCACAGTTGGAGATTGTGAATTGAACTGCAAAAGGAATAGTTTATTATATGGTGGTTGCCCCTTTTGTGGTTTTAACAGTAATTGTACTCACCACTTTAACTACTGAGATCTTGAAACTTAGTGGCGTGACTAAAAAGAAGTCCAACAGGTCAAGAAATACAGTCATACAATCAGATAAAGATCTATAGTTACACCAACAGAGTGATGCGTCTTCTCACTAGAAGATTGTGTGGCGTCAGGAGTCAGAACCTCCCAATGAAACTTCCATTCATATCATATAAATAGTTTCACCTTAAACACTTTAAAATGTCAGGCCACAGATGTTATCTTAATGTGTCTGATACATTGGAATCATCATGTAGGTATCAGATTAGACTTGGTGTTGACAGGCACCAAATATTTAAAGGACAAAAAAACATTTGATTGTGACATAAAACAACTTTTAAAAATATTGCCACTCTTGTTTAGACAAACTGAATGAACTGTGTGGTACTTGCAGATCTCCAGACAAAGATAATCTGGCTAAATTATTGGTCTATTTGTCTGATAGCCACGTTCCAAGATCTCAGCAGTTACACTGGTGACTACAATGCTATCATAACTGAAACATATTGGTAATTAACTGGAATTATCCATTAAAAGGTCCAGTGTGTAACATTTAGGGGGATCTATTGTCAGAAATGGAATATAATATGGATAGGTATGTTTTTATTGGTGTATAAATCACCTGAAAATAAGAATCATTGTGTTTCCATAACATTAAAATTAGCTGTTTTTATCTACAGAGGCGGAGTCTGCCATGTTTCTACAGTAGCCCAGAACAGACAAACTTAACACTGGCTCTAGATGCAAACATTTGCAGTTTTTTTTTGAGAGTTTGGCAGCCACTGTAGTTTATCCGACACTCTTGGACGTTGAGTAGAGTGGTTTCAGTTGTTTGCAATCAGCATATTAGAGCTGCTGGATGCCACTAAATCCTATACACTGGTCCTTTAATGGATAACACGAGGTCTTGGTCTCAGAATGGTCTCATGATTAGACAAAAACACCCAAAATGCGCTGTTGACAAAATGAGGATGTGTAGCTTTAACTGTGGCCTTATCACACTCTGAATACACATTAAGTAAGAGTAAGTCTGTAATGATCCATGTGGCCTCATCAAATGAAACTGTTTCTCAACACGAGAGTGTGCTGTAACTTCCTCTCACTAGTCATCTGTATTTATAGAAATGTTCCAAACAGGTTTGCATAAGTGTTTAAGATGGATGCGTGCGCGTGAGTTTGTGTGTGTGTTGTTTATTCCATTAGCTCAGCAGTTCAAGGTAGGTGACCGGGACTTTGCCCTTTTCATTTCCCCGTTCTCCGATCAACCAATCAGGGTCCATTCCAGGTACGGTGTATACGGTAATGAGCTGGGGAAACAAAACAGTAAGGATGACATTTTCAGACAATTTTGACATTTGTCACTAAAGGAAAGCAAAACAGGAAAAAAAAAAAAAAAACATCATACGCCACGTGCTGACATTTATATTGTCTCATTCTTTTTGCCCTTCTCTAAATAAACACTAAATGATCCCAGTGTGATTTGTGGAACTTTCCTGATCTCATGGTTTTAGTAATTTTCCTCTCCTCTCATCTTTCTTATCTCCTTCCTCTGAGTCATTCAGACCAAACAGTGGACAGGACGGAAGTAGACCAAACAGTGGACAGGACGGAAGTACAGCAGGATTCTACAGGAATAAAGGACTCATGGCATTCAAACTACAATATTTAAATCCTCTAAGGCAGAGCCTGTTGGTTAGATTAATGGTAAATGGACCTGTACTTGTGTAGCGCCTTTCTAGTCTTCTGACCACTCAAAGCGCTTTTACACTACGTGCCACATTCACCCTTTCACACACATTCACTCAGTGATGGCAAAGCCCATCGAACAGAAACTAACATTCATACACATTCACACACCGATGCATGGCATCGGCATCAGGAGCAATTTGGGGTTCAGTATCTTGCTCAAGGATACCTCGACATGTGGAACCAGGAGCTGGGGATCGAACCCACAACCTTCCGATTAGGGAACAACCCGCTCTGCCTCTGAGCCACACTATGGCCCATTCTAACCAATAATGTCATTAACAAAATAAAAAAGTATAAGCCCTTTATTTTCAGTTACTTAAAAACCTGTAGCCATTATACAGCAGCAGGAATATACGTATTGCACCTGCACTATGCATATTTACAACAAGCTACCTTGTAGGAACAGTCTATATTTATACCTTTAATCTGGGAAAGATGCCCGCTTTTAGCAGATAATGAAGCAAAGAGTGTAAATAGTTAGAGCTGGTCTAATCTGGAAAGTGGTCATAGTGCACCATGAGATGAAAGTAAGGACCTGTACTTGTATAGCGCCTTTCTAGTCTTCTGACCACTCAAAGTGCTTTTACACTACGTGCCACATTCACCCTTTCACACACATTCACTCAGTGATGAACAGAAACTAACATTCATACACATTTTGGAGGAACCGACAATGTCAAACACAAACGAAAAAAATATTGGTATTAATTTGGGGATTGCAGCATTTTGAGGTGTATATTTGTTCTGGGACTCCACTGGTAGTGTAACACAGACCATAACCTCCTTAACCTTTTTGCGTTCCTTGCAAAATCCAAATCAGCGTTTAATGAGATGCGCAGAGAGGGTGAGTGTTTATATGGATTATGTTTTTGGGTGTTTGGGTTTTTGTATAAGCCGAAAGTAGAAGTAAAGTTTTTTTTGTTTGTTTGGTACTGATTTGACTAGTTGTTTGTATAGTGGAATATAGTAATTCCCTGTAATATTTTGGCGGAGTACCTGGTGGGTCTCCGCTCTTATACCCCTCCCCCCCTCTGGTTGGTCTGTGTCTTTTCCCTTCTTCACAGGAGACAGAGTGGCAGAGGGTGTGGCCATGGGATGGACTACACCTGGTTTATCCTGATTGCTGGGCTTTATAAGTGGTTGATCAGTGTGTTTCGCTCTCTCCTTCCAGCCAGCAGGTCCTTTGGTTTTGATAAATGCATTACCTTTTTCCCACACACAACACTTCACCCATGTCCACACACACACACACACACACACACTCACTACACTACTGACAAATACTGACGTACATATATATTTTGTACTTGTTCAGTACTACTACAGAATATCGGTTAATTAAATTTATTTTGGCTTGAAACAGTTAAAGTGTCTGTTTACTAAATTATAGAAAAGGGGTCCCTTAAGGAAAAAGGTTGGGAACCACTGCTTTCTTCCTACACATAAAAAGGAAAGTGATTTTATTGGGTTTCGTTTTTGTTCATTGCTGATTCATATCTATTCCTTTAGCTTTCAATAAATATTATTTAATTATTTTTTCCAGTTGCCTCACATTATCTTGCACAAGGGGTTTACTAGCTCAGCCAAAGCCATAACATTAGTAATTGGGGTATGACTCAGAATATCCTACTGTACCTCATCAGCCAACAGGGAAAGCTCGCTGGAGTCATGGGCATCATAGTCATACAGGACCTTGGCTTTTCTAGCACCTGTGACAGGGAGCTGTGTCTGCTCCATAGCCAGCGTGCTGGGCCTTTGGCCGGATGATGTGGAGACAGTGGCTCCAGGAGATGACTGTCCAGACAGGAAAGCAGAGGAGACGGGGTTTGGGCAGACCGCAGCAGGGGGGAGGGGTGCCCCAACGGCGTTAGCACATCTGCGTGATGATCGGGAAACAAATGGCATATGAGTTTTCAACATGGATTTTAAAAGGTATTTATTTGTGACATTTATGGTTGAGAAAATTATCACATCCATTTGTGTAATAATGATTTTTTGCCACATGGGAAAGGACATTTACAAAGACTTGGCCATGGTCCTGCTGGTCAAGTTAAAGCAGATTTCGAAGCTTGACTTAGATTTAATTATACCTGGATTGTATTTTCATGTAAAACATTTAGTTGGTATTGTCAGATATTTAAACAAATATAATGTTTAAATACCTCTAAATCATCATTGATGAGAACTTGGGTTGGAAAGAACACATTCATTATGTTAGAAACGAGGCAAGCCAACAGCTCTGTAAGGCTGTTCTTACTAAATGCTAATGTCAGCAGGCTAACATGCTGATGTTTAGGAGGCTATGTTACCATGGTCACCATCTTAATTTAAACTCTTAGCATGCTAGCATTTACTAATTTGCACTGAACAACAGCTAACAGACCTTTTTCACAGCAGCTATTTTGACATGAAATAGAAGGGTAAACACAGGTGTTACCAATGATACTGATTAAAGCCGGAGCAGGTAGCTTTTATAAAAAATGACTTTTTTGTCATTATTGCTGAAATTTTTATTTTACTTTATATTTCTCAGTACATGAGACAGATAATCTGTGAAAAAATCAGGGTTTGTTGTCAAAACATACAGAATCACTGGAAATAAGTACATAAGGCACCACAGAGCATCTTCAAAAACACACATAGGAAGTACTTGAACTTTATTTCCATAGAACCATCAAACTGGAGGAGGTACGCACACTTTCTGCAAAGTGAGATTGAGACTTGAGACTGAGAGATTTTTCACCCGCAGTAAATATTTACACTGCTGTTGCAATGGTAAATGGACCTGTACTTGTATAGCGCCTTTCTAGTCTTTACACTACGTGCCACATTCACCCTTTCACACACATTCACTCAGTGATGCACGGCATCGGGAGCAATTCGGGGTTCAGTATCTTGCTCAAGGATACTTCGACGTGTGGCACCAGGAGCCGGGGATCGAACCCACAACCTTCCGATTAAGGAATGACCCGCTCTGCCTCTGAGCCACAGCCGCCCTTAATGGCTAATGGATTGATTTTAAATATTGAAATCATTGTATATATATTCAATATTAACCCATTACAGAATCCCTTCATTTTTTACTTTCCATTCAATTTCTGCTTAAAGGTGGGGTCAGTCATTCTGAAGAAAGAGAGTTGATTGTTAAACCTAATTCCAAGGGTTTCAAATACCAACGTTTTGTGTAATGGTAAATTGGAAATAGAGTGAAATCCGTGCTCAGAGTATTTGGTGACCTGGGAATGCGATTCAACAATCAACTATCTGCTAGCCACCAACCCAACAGTGTGTTATGATACAATAAACAGTCAGAACATGGCTTTTCATTTAATTTGCATTTTATATCGCACATACACCTCCAGCTTTTTGATGGCAGTTTACTGACAGAAAAAAAAAGCTTGGGTCCTTTTCAAACGAAGGTGTGGAGAAACAAGACAAATGCAAATGATTTCATACAGGACATTAGGGGTTGTTGAGCGCTTTGATGAGAATAAAAATGGTTTGAATCAATTGAACATTGATTTCCTCAGCATTCCATCAGTCAGCATACAGTTTACAATTTGTGTAAGCGTCAAATGGTGTAAGTATATTACGCACTTACAGTTGTCTAAGACACAGGAAGAGTGTGATAAAGCCATCACTGGCTGTGATTAACTCTTCCCATCACTTAAACACCACAACACAAACATTAATAAAAAACACGGGATTTTTAAACTTCATTAACTCTTGAAGTCCCATTACCTGTAGATCTACAGAGCTACAAAAGTATACTAATCTAATCTAATCTACTTTTGGCATTCAAATGTTGGAGATAAAGCTACCAGTGAACCCTCACCTGTTGAGCTCCCTCTGAAGGTCTTGCATGTAGTGATGACACTGGGCGTAGTACGTGGCCTGAGCCTCCGCAAAATCATGCAAACAACGCAGGTGGTTGAGCTAAAGGGGAGAAAAGAGAAGATGAATTCCAGTATGAGTGAAATATCCAGCAGTACCCAATGACAGTTAGTTAATTATCGTCACATTATCATCAGAACACAATGATTTCTTCATTTCAGTCAAAGGCTCACATACCCAGCACGTTTGAATAACGCGCGCCTCTTGATATGTGAAAGTGCATAACATATTGTAATGAAAATATTCCTTTAAATGTTCTTCTTTTTCACATTCAGTTTTGTGTTACTTTCATCAGTAACTTAATTGGTGGCGGACAGGCAAGTGCACAAATAATAGTAATAGTTAAACATTTGGGGAATTCACTTCAACTTCAAGTGAGTTAGATAAGAAGCCTTATATTGTCCGTTAAATTGCTACAGCTAGCAGCTGCTTAGCTTAGGTTAGCATAAAGACTGGAAAGCATTGACTGTATAATTAGAAATGGAAGTAGTCTCTGTGATGTCCCCCATAGGTCTCTGAAGAGCAGTTGTGAAGCTCAGTGTGGTCGGCTCTGGCCGTTGCCATCTTGGCAGTCCTGACTCCACCGGCTCCTGGCTAATCCAAAAATACTGAGGCGGGCTGAATGACACTTGGTTACAGTGGTTACAGCCTGTTTCCTCCTCCTTTTCTATTATTGATATTCTATTAATGCATAACAATAACAGTAGAGAACAAATGATGAACTGTACAGTGACCCCAATTATAACAATAACTGCAGGAAGTTAGAGACTTGATGAACTTTTTGCAGATTATTTCCTGTGGATATTACATCAGAGAGGAGTTTCCCTGATGCTTGGCCATTGTTCTATTAATTCAATTCAATTTTATTAAAGCACAAGAACTCCAGGGAAGAAGTGAAGTTAGGCTACAGTTTGTGTTTTCACAAGGCCCTTATCCTCTAGTTTTCTTACTCTCTTTAAAATCAAGAAGTCCTTGCGACCCCCTGTGAAGCTTTGCAGACCCCCAGGTTGGGAACCACTGAGCTACAATACAGTCCTCCATTTTGAGCACTCTGTTACTTCAAATGTTTGCAGCAAAATCCTGTGACTGGAGCTGGAAAAAAGTTCATGGGTTAATCCTTTTGGCTGTATTCATGTGTTCCCTGTGATTCACATTGCCTCTGCATCTCTACAGACAAGGTCTAGGACTCTGACTAACAGTTTTCCAGCACTGCTGGCTCACATTAGGACAACACGTCCACAATGGACGTGGTACACTCACATGTGTGCTGCTGATGCCTTCCAGAAGCAGTCTGGTGACCTCAGCTTGTCGGTCGAACTCTGTCTGAGCGACGCGCAGCTCGTGCTCTGACTGCAGGTGGAAATGCATACATTAGAAGGAAGTGTTGGAAGGGCTGTACATGTGTTGCTTCTCAAGAAGTGCGGACACAAACACAGGTAGCAACACACACCTTCCCGTTGTGGAAGTACTTACTTTGTCTACCTCCTCACTGAGCAGCTGAGAGAAGCAGCATAAGAACAGAAAAAAAAGCAGTCATGAAACTTTCTCAGACTCAAACAACACATTATGTTGATAAATAAATAAACTGCAATGTGTGTGCTTCAATTTAGCCAGTCTTAATCTATGAGGGGAACTAAGCAAGGTAAAACAGATCTGCCAGTCCAAATTCAGAAAAATGTTGGAGTCAGTTAAGAACAGAGTTTACTTAATTTATTTTATCTTATTAAGATAATTCAAGATAATTTAACATTAAAATTAAAATATTTCTCCATATGTCAGTTATTTTTGTACTGTGGGGCAGGTGTCATCAGTATCAGACAATGTCTATTTACATTGTACAGGTTACACCACATACCTAACCCACAATATACCTGCATTAAAATTAATAAAGCAACAAAGATATGTTATATGCTAACATATGTTGAGTGTCCGTATTTGATGCTCTAAGAATAAGACTCAACAATCAACTGTCTTTCTCTGCTCTGATTGGTTGTTTTTGTTCGGGCCTGGTGGATTCTTGCAAATGTCATTAGGAACACTAGGAGGAGCCAGAGGAACCTGATTGTTTCACAGATTACCTGTCTCACAAACTACTGTCAGGATATAGTGAAAGTTTCAGCAAATGTGACAAAAGGTTCTTTTTAATAAAAATGACTTACTGCAGCTTTATATTTTAAAATAAAACAGATCAACAAATTACCAAACCATCTTGAAAGTGTAAGTAACCACACTCAAGTGATGTCACAGTGCACTGATACACCCTGGTGTGTGCCACTACAGTTGTAGAAACACAATCTGCACCAATCTAACACCAATCTAACACCAATAATGAAAAACTGAATTAAACTATGTGAGTCGGGCCAGATATCTGTTCCATTCCTTCAGAACTGCCGTCCCATAACTACATACTAACTACACATTCATTTAGGGTTTTTTGTGGTTGGGGGTCTTTGCTGCTACACTTTTATTCATCATACCTGTATAATTACTATGTGCTGCTGTGACTGTGGGGGCTGTAATGTTCAGTCTGAACTGATGTCTGACTCCTGAGGTTTCAACCAGGCTTCAATCAGGCCTGCAGTGGTAAACATTTTAGCCACGATAAATGATAATTTTGTTGAAATTAAAATTTTGTGAACTTTACAAAGAACATTTTTCTCAGAGAGTGTGTGCAATCAGAGATGTAATAATACATATAAGAATAAAAAATGAAGACAGAACCTCATCTGACTTGAGTGTAACATAAATACTTCAGTGAAATATTTGTGTCTCCCAGCTGTTGTTGTTGGCTGCCAGCCTGAACTGAATGTGACCTTTGTTCTACACTCCACAGATGTTGGAATGGCTGTGGTATTGCACCCCCCTGTGGTAAACATGCATTATTATGAGAAAGCATCTTTCCCATTGTATACACTTCATGAAAATATTAGTCTGGGCTCATACACATTTTAACAAATAATTTCCCAGGACCTTTCCAGGAAATTGTTTAGGGGTTTTCTTGTTATACCAGTAGGTCATAGGTCTGAGTGCAGGGCTAAAATACAATTAAAGTTTTCAAGGACAACATAGATTATTTCCAGGATATTTGTCATTTTAATCTCCCCAATCAAATCTGAGACTGTACTGATCCATCCAACTTCAAATCACTGATCAAAATCCACCTTTTCAGAACTGCTTTTAATGATAAATTCATTGTTGAGTGTTGTAGATATAGCTATAATTTCTTAGTGTGTTGTTTTTATGATCTTTTTCTTTTCCTTTTTAACTTATGTGAAGTGTCTGAGTTTCTTGAAAAGTGCTCTATAAATTAAATGTATTATTATAATAATTATTAATCCATTTCCAGGTGTTTAAATGAGTGGAAAACTGCTTCTCTAAACTTCCAGGAATACCAGGAGATTACTTTATGCTTTTTTGATATGGCAGGTGGAAAACAAAATATTTTTTTTTATGATTTACAAGGATAGTGACTAAATCTGAAACTGACTTATGAACTTGATGTAACTTTTTAGTCAAACTGCCTGGCAGGGGCAGTTCTAGAGGGGTGACAAATGCCTGGCTACCCCAGTTTGGTGTCAAATGCTGTCAGGTTTAACACATTATTTCAGATTAATTTAAAAAATAAATGAATTTACAGATCCGTTATGGCCACATTTTAGACTACGTGATAGTGCTGCCAGTCCTCATCAAACATTTTCATTTATGTATCACTTGAAAGCTTACCACTTACATGTAATTTTTTTCAGCCAAGTATCTCAGTTCTTTCCAAACAAAAGGGCAAAGTGACCACAAGGCCTTATCAGGTAGGACAAGGGGTGGGAGAGAAACACACACTAACTCACTGGAGACTGACTACAACAGTTCTTGCATCTTGACCTCCACAAATTAACATAAAAGGTTCTAATCCTATTTGACCGCTGCTGACAGATGTTTACCACCTTGCTTTGCTCGGATACACTGGGATCTGCAGCCACATCCCAGCTCTCCCAGCCACTCTGCAGCTGATTTGGTAACACAGCCAACACAAAGAATCACAATTTGCAACGACAGCAACACAGAAAACACAACCAATTTTCACTGGAAGCTCCTTAATCTGATTTGATGTCTACATTTACTTTCTCTGACAGAGGAAGTGGGAAGGTGATGGCTTGTAGTTGTTTAGGTTTGAACTATTGTATGAGCAAAATCACACGATCTCTTCAAACCCACTTCTCTGTTCTCTTTAAAGTGCACCTGTGGTTGCTGTGTCTGTCCTACTGCAACTCACTCAAGGAGAACATTTAATAGAATAATACTTTGTGTTTTCTTAAGTAAGATTTTGACTTGAGTATTTTTACATTGTATTGCTACTGAGGTTGCAAGTTACAGAAAAAGAAAATTATAATGACCAATTCTCTGCTTTTAATGTAAGCTAATATACGTAACAGGCTATTGATAATGCAGTGGATTGTAAGGACACTGTGTATTACAATAGGATTATATCTGTATTAAAAGTACAGTCTGATAAAAAATTATTTTTGTGACAGCCAAAAGCACAACTAGACTATGACTGATAAAACACACCGTGCATTGTCCTCAGCTGAAATGGAAAATCAGCATTACTCATTATTAACATAAGTTTTGCAATACTCCTCTGAATCAGATGCGTGGGCAGAGCTATCCCTAATCCTAACCTCGGCAAGTTACAGTTTAGCTGAAGCTGTTCTAAACCACAGCTAGCAACAGCCATTTCTGATTAAATGTTGTTGTTAACTGATTTTGTAAACAGTTTGGCACTTCAGGGCCACCATACCTCTCTTGTACAGTATATCTATATTTGCTCTTATGACCAGTGCTATACTAACTATAAAACTCAATTTAGTCCTTTCAGATCATAGGGTGTAGAGCTTCTGCACATGGCTTAAAATCTGGTTCATTCAAAATATACAGTGTTTCTTATTGTTTTTTGTAAAATAAAATGTAAATGATGAATATTCAGTTCAAACAACAAAAATAAAACATGCACAAACATGCTCATAAGTATCATATTTATGTTGCAAACATCATGCAACAGTGCTGTTATATCTGACAAGCCTACCTTGTTCAAGTATTAGCAATGCAGCCCTTTCACATCATTTACTTACGAACTATAAATCATTCAAAATGTATAACATCTTAAAGTTATTTAATAGCCGCCACCCCATGCTGTCTAAATACACAAACACCACAAGTAGGCAACACTGCAGTGCGACGCGTTGACAAGATTCTGGGTGCATCCTCCGTGTGATATATAGTATTTAGTTACATGTAAGGGTGTTCACAGTCCTCAGCATTGTTAAATTTAGTTCATTTCAATGGCTTGAGTAATTCAATACATTTAAAACAAATCTCCACACCTGTGAAATGTTACGTTTTGCTGCCTTAACAAAGAAGAGGCAGAAGACTATTGTGTCTGACTTGTGTCTCAGGCACATTTGAGAATGTTGTTGCTTTAAAGTGAGTCTAGTTAACTTTTGCTGAACTGCAGCCACTGTCGCCACAGGAGGGGAGTATACGGGAATGGTAAATGCTAAGACGTAGCATGAAAGTAGTTGAGAAAGTTGTAAAGTCAGCAACTGACTTGGTAATGTCAGGTACAGTTTTTTTTTTTAACAGAGTCATTTCTTTATTTAAAAGCTGCATAGTGTGCTTTAACATTTTGTTAGTCTACCGGTGTCCATCGTAAGGATAAATGGCACATAAAAGTCCACAAAGTGTTCTAGTGCTGTACGCTCATTAGCATGTTAGCCTAGCTCATGCTGTGTTTGTCGTTTGGTTTCCTGTGGACTCTTACCGCTGATGCACTGGCAGACAGAACATAATTGCGAGGCCTTGTCTCCTGAAAATCAGGTGCAGCCTACAAACAAGAGCAGGGAGGAGGAAACACATGTTGGCACAGTCATGCAGTTACAATCAGTAAGCAGAAAAACAAAGACAGTTCGCCAAAAGCATTAGCATAAAGAAAACAAATCAGAAGTAGCAAGTTAAAATGATTTAGAACAGCAGTGGTGGTCCTCAGAGCGCTATCTAGTGGGCAGTAAAATTAAAAATTAAAAAAAGTGCTGTAAGTGATTTTTTTGGTTTTGTTTAAAATAAGTGTTAAAGGGACATTGTGTAGTTTTAAGTATTTTATTAGCTAAAATCAATGTCTTCATTCATAAATGTGTCCTCATTGGTGTAAAATGACCTCTGCCGATGATCTGACTTATCCTCGTAAGCGAAGAATTTCTTATCTCTATATACATTGGACGGGCCAGTCCATGGAGGCTTCCATATCGTTCCGCCATTTTGAAAAACTATAATCACCGAGAGGGACATAAAGCACTAGCCTACCTGTCTAGCTAATCACCACCCCTTTTTTCGTTCAGAGCCAGCGTCACGTGACTGAAACCAGCTATAATGGAGAAGGAGATCAGTGAGAGGCGCTTGTCTCTGCCCCGGCACATTTCAAAGTCTGCACTGCACTTTAGTTCATAATGGAGGATCATACTTATGCCGAGCCACAGGAGAAGGAATCCTCGTCGCCAAAAAAGCGAAAAAGGGAATTAAAAAGGCAACGTGACCGGCAAATTCAAAAAACAAGGGAAAACATCGGGGTAGCTTTTCCCAGGTGGAAAGAGCTAATGAAGGAGAAAGACTTTCAAAGGGACGCTGAAGTTGCCTGCTTTCTCCTCAACAGGTAGGCTTCTTGGCGGCTGTGGCTCAAAGGCAGAGCGGGCCGTTCCTTAATCGGAAGGTTGTGGGTTCGATCCCCGGCTCCTGGTGCCACATGTCGAAGTATCCTTGAGCAAGATACTGAACCCCAAAATTGCTCACGATGCCGTGCATCAGTGTGTGAATGTTAGTTTCTGTTGGATGGGCTTTGCCATCACTGAGTGAATGTGTGTGAAAGGGTGAATGTGGCACGTAGTGTAAAAGCGCTTTGAGTGGTCGGAAGACTAGAAAGACGCTATACAAGTACAGGTCCATTTACCATTTACCATTTACATAACGGCTACCGTAGTTGCAATACGCATTTGAAAACGTGAGGCACTAGAGAGCATTATTCGTTTGAATGCAAAATACAATTTCACCGCTAGATGGGAGAAATTCCTACACAATGTCCCTTTAAATAGCTCTGCGTTCTGACAGCCATCACTGATATAGTGTTCAGTCAGTAACATGGTCTCCCAGTCCTTCCTTTCTACAGTAAACAGAGAATACACTTTACTGGTATCCCGTTCACATATTATCAGGAGAGAGAACTCTTGGTGGCACCAACCCAAAGCATTGGTATTTGACACAAGGGATGAGACTTTACAATCTACTATCCTTCTCCAGAATCCCTTACTACACCTTTATTTTTTTTGTAATTTAGAACTACTTATTTTACTAATTGTGTTTAAGAATTCACATAAAACAAACAATAATAATACAAATAAAATAATAATAATGTCAATGTACAATTATGTTTGAATATCACCACGCTACTCACAGCACATCATCAGGTAGAGACAAACATATTTTGCTGTTTTTAGCTAGCTAATGTTGCCCAAATGTAGTGACATAAAATAGATTAGAAATTAAAAAGCAATGTGGGAGACAACCCTGTGCCAAAAGCGTGAAGATGAGCATTATATTTATTTTATTTTACAGCCCAGTCAAATTTTTTTCGGTATGTTATGTTTTGTTTTTTTATTTTATTTTATTTAGGAATGTACAGAGCCCCTAAAGGGACATGGAAAAAAAAATAAAATGAAACATTTCTAGTGCGCACTAGATACTATCTAGTGCGCACTAGAAATGTTTCATTTTTTTTTTCCATGTCCCTTTAGGAATGTAATGTAATGGTTTTATTTCAATAAATAAAACCAATATTGTTCTTTTTCTCTTTCTTTGACCTTTTATGACATGTTTTGAACAGAGCAGTTTTAATGTGCGTTGGTGTTGCTTATTTTGGCATGACTATATAAAGGTCCAGTGTGTAACATTTAGGAGGATCTATTGTCAGAATTGGAATATAATATTCATAGGTATGTTTTCATTTGTGTATAATCACCTGAATATAGGAATCGCTGTGTTTTTGTTACCTTAGAATGAGCTGTTTTTATCTAGAGAGGCACCACATTTCTACAGTAACCTAGAACAGACCAAACAAACACTGGATCTAGATAGGGCTGTTAGGAGGAGGAGGGTGCAGTGATGGAGCTGTGATTTACACTAAATCCTACACACTGGACCCTTAAGAAGTTCAGAATAGGTATTAGGCTATTTTTATTGAGACTATAGGCAGTCTCAATAAAAATACACCCTTGCCTCCTCATGCTTATTGTGTTGGCAAACTTGACCAACTTGACGATTTATTTATTTAACTTTAGTTTGTACAGTTAGATTTCAGCTACCTTGTATTTTTATTTCAGTTCACTAAAAGGTTTTAGTTTAGTTTTAGTGAAAGGACTTGATTAGGTGTTTAGGATTCAGTGGCATCTAGCTACGGTGGCCGTGAAACTTGAATAGTAACAAAGACCCTGTCTAGAACCAGTATTTAGTTTGTCCATTCTCTTCTGTAGATAAAAACAGGTCATTCGAAGGTAATGAAAGCGCTCCTATATTTCAGGTGATTATACACCAATGAAAACATACCTATGAATATTATATTCCATTTCTGACAGTAGATCTTTCTAAATGTTACACACTGGACCTTAAAGTATAATAACCTTAGTGTGCTACTCCATCATCTTACTTTGAGCCCACTGTTCTGGAATGAAGGTGTGACAGCTTCAGACCAAGCGTCTCATGGTCAGCGCAAGGCATTAAAAAGCTTTTTGAAGAGAGATACATGCAACAGGCACTGCAGGCAGAATCACTGATGATACGGCAGCCATGTGAAAATCTTTTAGAGCATTTTAAGTGGCAGTTTGGTCAGTGCAGCCATGCCATCTAAAGAAACAACCAACCTGATGCAATACAAATGGAGCAAAATAACTGCAAAGGTTATTTCAAAGAAAGCAAGACCATATGACCTGATTTGAAAATGTAGTTGTTTCCAAATTAAAGTTGTGTGCTTCCTGCTTGTGATATTGTTATACTTGACTTCTTTGAGCTTTTTTCAGTTTTATAATGTACAAGTGGAGAACAGCTGGCACAAGATGCATCATACGAGCTGCAATCATCCTTTGTCAACTTTAAAGGGGAACTTCGGCAGATTTTTACCCTAGTCTTGATCACTAGAGGTCACCGAGTACTGTCGATAGGAAAAAGAACGACCAAAATCGGTGCGAGCAAACTGGAGTTCCTGCAGCTAATGGCCAGAGCTCCCAGTTAGTTATAATACACTTCTTGGGGGAATAAACTAAAGAGTGCCTTTTGCTCCTCTTAACAGACACAAAATGCAATTAAAATGTCTGTGCAACATGATCAGGGCCCTTACGTGACAACAACATGCCTTTTCAACTCATACGTTGTGCAGAAACCGTACAAACAGTACTGTCGCCTACCTGTTTTTCCACCGCTCGCTTCACCGAAAGCCCAGAATAATCGATCACAGAGATAATGCCTTCACAACGAAAAAAAGTTTATTTCCCCCTCAAAAATGTCCATGTCTTCACACACTACTCTCCGATTTGCACACTTCCTGCAACAATTTCTTCTTCTGCGTTTCCCTCCAACAAGTGAAATAATAATAAACGCAGAAGAAGAAGAGATTGTTGATCGGAGGTGTTCACAAGGGAAGAAGCTTGGAGTAAGAATAACGTGTGTTGTTGATCTACTGTGGAGAAGAAATGGTTCGCGTTTGTGCCTTTCCAAATGGTGGCAACAGAATGAGAAGGTACAGTGCCTACACTTTCATCGTCTACCTTTCCATGACCATGAGATCCTGCAGTTGTGGCTAGTTGTTCTTCAGCTGGATGTGCAAACTCCCATACAAGTACTATGTGATCACGGAGATAATGGCTTCGCAACGAAAAAAAGTTTATTTCCCCTCAAAAATGTGTTGCCGCACATCCCTTCTCAAGCCGTGTCTGCCAAAACGAAGCTAAATGAAGTTATGAATATAACATTACCTCCACAGTGGTTGCAGCAGTCTTCATCCTCGGAATGGCATTTCTCTTCAGCCGGCCCCGCTGTGTTATTATTCTGGGCTTTCGGTGAAGCGAGCGGTGGAAAAACAGGTAGGTGACAGTACTGTTTTGTACGGTTTCTGCACAACGTATGAGTTGAAAAGGCATGTTGTTGTCACGTAAGGGCCCTGATCATGTTGCACAGACATTTTAATGCATTTTGTGTCTGTTAAGAGGAGCAAAAGGCACTCTTTAGGATATGCCCCCAGAAAGTGTATTATAACTAACTGGGAGCTCTGGCCATTAGCTGCAGGAACTCCAGTTTGCCCGCACCGGTTTTGGTCGTTCTTTTTCCTATCGACAGTACTCGGTGACCTCTAGTGATCAAGACTAGGGTAAAAATCTGCCAAAGTTCCCCTTTAAAGCTGTATTCATCAATCTTTGGCCACTAGGGGTCAGGAAAACATACATTTACTGTCACTGACAGATATACAGCCACTATCATGTACCTGGCTTATAAAGTTGGGATGACTAATCTGCTAGCAAACAATTGCCAGATGTCCACATCCAGTAGATACAAAGCAACATTATCACCCTGTCACTGTTGTGTTTGTGGACACTCAATGAATTGTTTTTGGCCTAAAAATATTCATTTAGATTTTTGGTTTTAGATATCTAACCGCAATAAACTCATTCTTGAGTTGCAGCTCAACAATCTGCCATAAAACCAAAACTATAAGCTACAAGAGGTTAAAAGCTCCATAGAGCTGCAGATTTGGGTTATAACTCTACGTGATTGTGGTATTATTACCCCTCTCACATTACGTGGTCAGTTTTTTCAGTATTAATATTACAAAATAATAATCAGTGGAGGTTTAATAATAAGACACAGAGATGTCACGCCAAGATCCGGTCTACAGTTTAAAGGCCTTTTCAGAGCAGGGACAAAACAAAAATATGGAATATTCTTTAGCGATTTTTCTTCAAACCTATCACATGAAGATTGACCAGAATACTTGAGTTTAGTGCATTCCACCGAAGATTTTTCGATTCAGACCAAAGATTGAGCTAAAAGAGAGTAAATATTGGACTTACATTCATCAGGTGGACTCAAACACAACTCCAAACGAACGCTAATGTTGCTCTCTAACTGCTGCATATGTAAAAGTGTGGCTTAATAAGTTGATAATATGTCAGTGTTGTGTTCACAGGTTTTTCTGCTGCTCCAAAGTGGCCAAAGAAATGTATTAATAGATTATTAAGAGGGTTAACATTAAACAGTAAAAGTGGGCGTTATATTCACTATTATTGCTGTTTCTGAGAAATGGAGGACAGATGGAGAAGTTAGCTGCTGCTGGTGTCATGGTTACTGTGATTCAAATACTATTACAGATAACAGGAGGAGGAAGAAAAAGAAAGGAAAAACAACAGCAGCAACAAAATCGACAATGTGAAATTTTATCTCACCGCTGCTTTGGCTTCTGCCTGCTTGGCTTTTTTCAGGCGGGCCTTGCAGATGTCAAGATCCAGCCGTCGATTCTCCAGCAGTCGTCTCTCTTTCTGCAGAGGACAGGAGGGATCCAATCAGAAAGAAGGGTACAAACCTTGCACCACAAGGTTAACACAGTAAGGCAACTAACTCTGTATGAAAAGAGCTTTCATAGGAAACAGCACAAAAGCAGTCCTTCTCCTCACTTGGATGGCATTGATATGAACACTTTGAAGCAGCAAGGACTTAAAATAGTGAATGCCCAGTGAGCGCCAACTGGGATTTTAATGTTAACGTTGATTTTTAGTTGAAAACTGGGTGATACTGGGTCCACCTCTTTTCCAATCAGCTAGGACAACATCAACGTGTCACAAAACACAAATCTGTTAAATAATTTTGATCTTTTGTTCAGTTGTAAGTTGACAGAGGCGATGTTGATTAATGTGAAGGTATTTCTGTCAGTAGTAGGGGAAATTTGGTATACACAAAGAACTGAACTATATGGACTGTGTGCTGCCAAAAACAAGCTTCCAGCATAATGGGAGAAGTTCCTTACATTAAAGCTACCTTAGTTCATTTTTATAAAAAAATAACTTTTTGTCATATTCACTGAAACTTTCACTATATCCTGACAGCAGTACTTGAGACAGATAATCTGTGAAAAACATCAGGTTCCTGAGTTCCTCCTAGTGCTCCTGATGGGATTTGCACGAACCAATCAGAGCCAAGGAAGATAATTGTTTGTTGAGTCTCATTCCAAGGGTGTCAAATATAGACGCTTTGGGAATGAGACTCGGCAATCAGCTATCTTCAAGCTCCCAGCCCAAAACATCTTTGTATCTTTCTGGGCTCTGATTGGTTGTTTTTGTTCAGGCCTGGTGGATTCGTGCAAATGTCGCTTGGAGCACTAGGAAGAGCCAGAGGAAGCAGATTTCTTCACAGATTATCTGTCTCATGTGCTACTGTCAGTGAAATATTACAAATATTTTCTATAAAAATGTTACTCTTCAGTCTTTCTGCCTGAAAGCACCAAAAAGGCCTTAGGAAGTCAAATAATATAGTATAAAGAAGTGATGGAAGTATATTTTGTGTTGCATGAGCCAAGTTTTTATATTATACTGGCTTTAACTGAGAAATTTGGATGTGCTTTTAGACTCCAAAGTGACAATAATCTATTATTTGCACATTATAGAGGATGAAAATTTCAGTATTGAAAATCACAGTGAAATACAGTCTAAATGTTAACTTTCAATCATTGTATGGTATGTTGTTTCACCGGCCTTATTTGAACGCTTTTCAACTAAAAATTTTTTGAAAATTAGTCAGACTTACTGATATAGTCCTCCAGTCTCCTTCCAAGAAGTTCCGTAGGGGAGTGAGGAACGTAGTAGCGGAGGTGTGGAGGAACTCACGCTCGGCTCCTCCCAGCCTCTTCTGGTATTCTCCAACGGTGATCAGCGTGCTGCCTACAATACATGCACACTTGTATTACACACTGATGTCAAACCTGACTGAAACTCTAAAGTTATGTGAAGCAGCAGATGTTTCTGTCATTCCGAAGAAGGCAGTGGAAAAATACGACTAGGGATAGGTATGTGAATAGGTGAATATGACATACGTAGTGTAAAGTTTGAGCGGCGCTATACAAGTACAGTTCATTTACCATATTATTTTGTATTTCTCAGATAATGTAAATTACAGCCTATAAATTATCTGTCAAGAATAATAATTATCTATTTTGAATTCTTGTGTGAAATATTTGATATGTTTTTATGTTTTTTTATGTACTTTACTAGAAAAAATTAATGAACATTTAAAGGGTCAGAACATGTTTGTTTTTGTTATAGTGATATCAGTTAGATTTGGTTAGACCAGAACTACGGAATATTAAATCATCTTTGCTCATTACAGCTTAGCCTTTCTTACCCTTAGATGTGCAAAAACTACAGGTTATGAACTCCTTTTTAAAATACAAAAATGTGAAATTGTCTCTTATCTTATTGGTTAAAAAAAATCCATATTGTGCATCCCTAAAACTGACGGTTGGAAGCATTTAGACAACGTGCTATTCCCACTGATGCTTTTCTGTCAAGTTAATGAAAATAGGGAATACTGAGGAGTGTAAAATAAAGCACATAGTACATCTACGTGTGTGTGTGTGTGTGTGTGTGTGTGTGTGTGTGTGTGCGTGTGTGTTTGACTTCAGCTACTGCACTGTCCAGTGATATTCTTGCTGTCCATAACAGTTGGTAAAATATCCAAAAGGGTCCAACTGCAGCACATTGGAGCTCCCTGCTCAGGCCCCTCTCATGCATGTATCATTGCCCCCTGCTGGTCAGAGGTATTATTGTATTTTCTTTCAGAAGTCAATAGCCTGTTCATATAGTTCACAGAATATTATATGAAATATCTGAAGTATATTTATATTATCTGAAGTATATGACTGGTGACTTTCGGCAGAAACGTTGCTCATAGTGATGGTAAATGTTGAAAACACATTAGACCCCCAGCTGTCCTTCTAAAAGTTTTTAATTTTACTTTAACCAATTGAAATACACCCTCATCAGTGTTTAATATCTGCACCAAACTTTTATGTACGTAAAGTTGTGCTCAGCAAGACTCATTCACCGCTCATAATGTTCTTATAATGTGGCAAACAAACTGAAAAAAACAAATCTTATGGGGTCAAATTCCTCAAGATAAATATTGATCATTTAATTCAAGAGCTCGGTTAGCAGCAGCTGCCGTCACTGTGAGTAACCACAGACACTTTTGGCCCAAAGGTCAGTGGTTAACAGGGTCTCTCTTTAAACCATAACACCGGTAGTGCAGTTGTGCCTTTTCCTCACTAAAGTCAGAACAAACTTTTAAATTAGGCCAAGATCTAATATGAGTGAAGATTCAGCAACTGGACTGCTTATTTCTTACCGAAAACTTGTTCACAAACAGATTATGGTGGACTGATAGCTTACTCCATACGGAACTCTACTATGGAGGTCGTGCTCAACTCCCATTGACTCACTAGGGGCTTCAGGAGGGCAGGCTGCAGTTGGACCCTTCTCAAAATAACTCTTCCACTTCCATTTCCTCTCTGGTGTCAAAAATGAAAAATTTTACTTAAATTCTTACTTTAAAGAATCTGGACCCAGAACACTGAACCTGATCTCACGTGATTAGGGAAAGCCGCCATTTCCAGGCACAAATAGATCACATCTTGAGCCGTGCACCCTGCTGTTCATATAAAAACTCACATATGCTTTCAACAGCTGCTAAATTATCAACCACACTTTCAACTATTAAATTCATTTCTAATAGAGAGGCCCCCCAGCCCTCCAGGACTTCATAAGAACCGAGCAGACACCATGCTCAAAGTCTCACCATTCAACTGCCAGTATCAGTTTCAGTAACAGCTCTACTGACCGTATGGCGTCACTGGACCAAAATCATTGGCAGCTTCCAGCATGTACTGGCCCAGCAGCTCTGCGTTGGTCGCCTTGGAGGGAAGCTTCTTGTCCAGCTTGTCATAGATGTACTCCTCTATTCGAGCACCTGGAGATAAAGAGATCGCTCTGAAACTGAGGACACCAAAATCTCAAGTATTTGGATACATTTTGTTCCGTTTTAAGGAACTTTTTATACAATTTTGTCTGTATTATGCATCTTTATCATGTTTAACAATCATAAAGACTTAATAGGCTCCCTTTTTCTAAACATTAAGTGTTTTCTTGACCATGACACATGGCCATTGTTCTATTAGAAAATTGCCTTTACATTTACTTTTCTTCACAGAAGTGAACCAAATGCTGAGATATAGGCCTGCAGTGTATATTCTTTAAGTTTTCTAGCACGCCTTGAAATCAAGAAGCCCTCGCCAACCCCCCATGAAGATTGGGCAACCCCTAGAGGGGGGAACCACTGCTTTAACGCAAATTCAACTCTTAATAAAATAAAATTTAATATGTTGCACACTTCCACAGCGCTGATTCCATCATTACAACAAAGGAGTCATGTCATACACTCACTAATTAGTTTTAGTGATTTCCATTTTGTTGGTTTTGGATCGTTGTGAAGCTGCAGTCAACAGCAGCGACACTTCCTGCACAGAAGTCTCTCACTGAAAGCCTTCCAGCGGCCCAGTGGGTAGCTTTTAGCACACGTCCCTGCCAGAGTATTATTTTTAAGTTACCAACCACTGCCAGCATTATTGGTCATATTCACTAATCTTTCAAGACCCACAGAATATTATGTTCTATGAATATGTAAACAGTGAATACATCAAAAGAAAAAACAGAGCCCCTATTTTTATACAGAAAAAACATTTTATCCCAACTCTGTTAATTCTTTTTTTTTCAGTACTTGAATGTTGGTCATTTTCATTATATAAAATTGTTTTTGACAAAAAGTTGAGAAAATTGCATTTTTGTTTTTTCTCACTTCCACATTGTAACTACTATTACATAAAATAAATATATATGATAATAATAATAATAATAATAATAATAATAATAATATTCTGTTTGAGTAGAAGAGTAACATTCCTAATGATGTTACGACATCTCCCTCAGCAACGTCTCGCCTACAAAATATCCATATTCTGCTTGTTGGCGGTTGTCAGGAGTCATACATTTGTATCTCGTCAGAGGCGGGGAAGCATTTCATTGATGGTTGTGTTACCGGTAGACGATATGAGGAGGATGCCACACCCCTTGTTAACCTGCTGTAGTGCATGCAGCTTGTTGCATTTGCTCCTGCTCATCTTCACCAACTTGTAGCATTGCCCTTCAAATGTGCAATAGTCTGGTTTATTCATTCATTCATTCGTCATTAATACTGCAATTATACAGTAAACTGCTCTGTCTTTCATTAGCGCATTTATTCAGGCATCCAGTTCTCAGCATTATTAGTACTCATTATTAGTATTGATTTATTACACTTTTATTATATACTGTAGCAGATATATTTTGCATGTCTTATTTTCTGTTTTCCATATATTGTTATATACTGTAGCACAGTAGTTCCCAACCTGTAAGTAAAATAAAATGTCTAATAGAACAAAGACCAAGTGTCAGAGACAAGATAAGAAAAGAAAAAGCCTATTAAGTCTGTATGATTGTTAAAAAACTATTTAATAAAAATACATAATACTGACAGAAAACTATATAAAAAGTTCCCTGAACAGGAAATAATATGCTTAAAAGTCATCCAGATCACTGGTTTTGGTCTGGACCCAGATGCCGTCTATCCCCAACCTACCTTTTTTTTTTTTTTTTTTTTTTTTTAAAGTATAAGTAATAATGAGTAAAAACAGTATTTCTCGTAAAAGCAAAACAGAAACGTGACTGTGTTGTTATATTGATGGAATTATTGCTGTGGAAATAGGCCTAGACATTATGCTGACTCACCATGCAAATCATTATAGCACAGGTTAACATCCCTCAATGTTTACAGACACAACAACCTTAAACAATAGGGCAATTGTAGGAACAGAAAAAGTAGACTTAAATAATAATGGACATGTATACAATAAAAAAGGTATAATTTTAATAACATTAAAACCTGAGCATAGGGGTTCAGGACCACAGCAATGTGGAGCATATTCAATGTGTGACTATGAATAAATTGGTCAGAACATATAGACTACGTTTGTAAGGAATATCTTGGCCTATAATCTGCCTTCCATTTTCATGAACAGCACGCCATGAAACCTGTACTGTGGGACATTCCCATAATAAATTAATTAGTGTACCATGATCATGCCCACCTCTTCAGCAAGACGGGCTATCTGTAAGTTTAACTCTACTCAGTCAAGGTCAGGTTCCATTCAGTGTAGCAGAGCCTTTGAGCCTGACTCTGGCTGACCTGAATGTAACAGAATTTATTTAGTATCATTGGTAACACCAGTGTTTACCCTACTATGTCATATCAAACTGGCTGCTGTGGAAAAGATCTATTGCACCATTAGAACACCTGCTTTTATTTGAGAATTTACCCATGAGGCAGCATTGGCTGTATCCCGTCAGACAAGTGCTATCATTTGTCTACCTGCAGGAACGGTCATTAGTAATTTAACACCTGTTTGTGTGTGCACAGTCCGTCCATTCACTGTGCAGCACTGTTCACTTTTTCACGCTTCAGTTTCAACATCAGTGTATGGTAGGTCTGTGTATGCTACACTGTCTGTCACAGTGAGTTCACACTTTCCTTACATAGCACTCTGGAAAATGACTTACCAGTGTGGTCAACTGGAGCATGGAGGGTTAAAAGAATACAAAGATCAAGCGTTAGACATTACTTCCAAGATCCATCTGTGATTCTATTTATTCTAAGTCTATTACAGATTAATGCAGGACTATGAACTGTTATAATCAAAGTAGCTTGGCAACAAAATTGTGTCACTGAGCTAAAAGAGAGCTTCAAAATGAACAAAATATTCAACAAACAACAATTAAAATGTGACAAAAGATTTGTTCAAAATAATATCTATGGAGTCCCAGAGGTGACAAATGTCATCTCTTGCCTTCTGGTTACCATCTAAGAATTCATTCATTCATTCATTCATTCATTCATTCATTCATTCATATTTACTGAAACTTTCACTATATCCTGACATTGGAACATGAGACAGATAATCTGTGAAAAAAAATCTGGTTCCTCTGGCTCCTCCTAGTGCTCCTAATGGTATTTGCAAAAATCTACCGGGCCTGAACAAAAACAACCAATCAGAGCCAAGTAAGATAGTTGATTATTGAGTCTCATTCTCAGGTCGTCAAATATCGATGGAAGGAATGAGACTCAACAATCAACTATCTTCAAGCCACCAACAGAAAGCATCCTTCCAACTTTCCAAACCAAAGTTTTAGAGATTATGACTTTTTTGACTTTATTTTTTTCATAAAAGTTAACTACTGCAGCTTTAAATAAGTAAGAAAAATAATTTAAAAAAAAAACAACAAACAAAACCTTGTTTAATTAGATTTTTAAAGGAATTAAAGGCATTTTTTATATGGAACCAGAAGGGAAAATATGACGCATCTTTTTTTCTTCTCTTACTTGGATTGGGCTGCAGGAGCACCTCTGTTTGTCTCAGGATCTTTTCAGTCCAGTTCTTGGTGCCATCAGCCCGAGTGATCAGGTTCTCCAAGTGAGGATCAAGCTCTGTCTTCTCAGCCTGGCCCAGTTTCTCCTCTGTGAACTGGGAGACAAAGTTAGGATGCTGAGTGTACATCACAGGCACATAACTTTAATCACAGCTAATAAGATATATATACACTGCCGTTCAAAAGTTTGGGGTCACCCAGACAATTTCATGTTTTCCATGAAAACTCACACTTTTATTCATCAAATGAGTTGAAAAATGAATAGAAAATATAGTCAAGACATTGAAGAGGTTAGAAATAATGATTTTTATTTGAAATAATAATTTTGTCCTTCAAACTTTGCTTTTGTCAAAGAATTCTCCATTTGCAGCAATTACAGCCTTGCAGACCTTTGGCATTCTAGCTGTCAATTTGTTGAGGTAATCTGAAGAAATTTCACCCCACGCTTCCTGAAGCACCTCCCACAAGTTGGATTGGTTTGATGGGCACTTCTTACGTACCATACGGTCAAGCTGCTCCCACAACAGCTCAATAGGGTTGAGATCTGGTGACTGTGCTGGCCACTCCGTTACAGACAGAATACCAGCTGACTGCTTCTTCTCTAAATAGTTCTTGCATAGTTTGGAGGTGTGCTTTGGGTCATTGTCCTGTTGTAGGAGGAAATTGGCTCCAATCAAGCGCTGTCCACAGGGTATGGCATGGTGTTGCAAAATGGAGTGATAGCCTTCCTTATTCAAAATCCCTTTTACCTTGTACAAATCTCCCACTGTACCAGCACCAAAGCAGCCCCAGACCATCACATTACCTCCACCATGCTTGAGAGATCAGGCACTCCTCCAGCATCTGTTGTTCTGCGTCTCACAAATGTTCTTCTGTGTGATCCAAACACCTCAAACTTAGATCCATCTGTCCATAACAATTTTTTCCAATCTTCCTCTGTCCAATGTCTGTGTTCTTTTACCCATCTTAATCTTTTCCTTTTATTGGCCAGTCTCAGATATGGCTTTTTCTTTGCCACTCTGCCTAGAAGCCCAGCATCCTGGAGTCACCTCTTCACTGTGGACGTTGAGACTGGCATTTTGTGGGTACCATTTAATGAAGCTGCCAGTTGAGGACCTGTGAGGCGTCTATTTCTCAAACTAGAGACTCTAATGTACTTGTCCTCTTGCTTAGTTGTGCACCGGGGCCTCCCACTTCTCTTTCTATTCTGGTTAGAGCCCGTTTGTGCTGTTCTCTGAAGGGAGTAGTACACACCGTTGTAGGAAATCTTCAGTGTCTTGGCAATTTCTCACATGGAATAGCCTTCATTTCTCAGAACAAGAATAGACTATCGAGTTTCAGAAGAAAGTTCTCTTTTTCTGGCCATTTTGAGAGTATAATCGAACCCACAAATGCTGATGCTCCAGATACTCAACTAGCTCAAAGGAAGGCCAGTTTTATAGCTTCTCTAATCAGCACAACAGTTCTCAGCTGTGCTAACATAACTGTACAAGGGTTTTGTAATCATCAATTAGCCTTTTAACACGATTAGCTAACACAATGTACCATTAGAAGACAGGAGTGATGGTTGCTGGAAATGGGCCTCTGTACACCTATGTAGATATTCCATTAAAAATCAGCCGTTTCCAGCTAGAATAGTCATTTACCACATTAACAATGTCTAGACTGTATTTCTGATTAATTTAATGTTATCTTCATTGAAAAAAACAATGCTTTTCTTTCAAAAATAAGGACATGTCTAAGTGACCCCAAACATTTGAACCATATCAAATATATACATACAAGTGAATAAAATAATAATAATACTTGAGCTTCAAGCTTTCAGGTGTATGTAATAAATCTGGTGATCCTTTCATGTATCATGTAGTGCCCTCATCCAATGAAAATGCTAATTTGTCCAATACATTCCCATCAGCCTCAGCTTTGTGTTTAGTGCTATACAACAAATGTTAACACAACACAATATACTAAAATGGTGAACATGGCAGACATTATACCTGCTTTACATCAGCATGTTAGCATGATGACATGATAGCATGATTACATTAATACAGATGCAGCTGCAATTAACCAATATCAGCTGATGTATAAGCTTGGGAAGCCGATATTTTTGATTGGCTAGTACTCGTTGCCTTCATTGGTGGGTTGGTGAGGTTTAGGCATGAGGAGTGGGATTGGTTAGGGTAAGCCAATCAGAGGCAGAGTAGGGTGGGTCGTGACTTTGCCATCCTGGTCTGGAGCTGTTTAACAGAATGTCTGGATTTGTATTTACAGTATGTTGTATAAGGGTCTATAAAAGTCAAGTGAATTCAATAACGTTACAACATTCATAGAAAAAGAGAAATAAGTGCAGAAAAATGATATGAGAAAGTAGCAACACAGTAGCAATAAAGAGCTACTTGTTGTCACCAACTGTGATGTCCAACTGTGCAATAAATGATGAGAACACCCACTTCTGCTGCAGACTTTGTGTTTTATAACACAGGCCAAAAAACCCCATCTGTGGTATGAGGCAGGGCTGCCTGACTTCTTCAGCTTTCTTCACTGGCTGCCAGATCTGACTGACAGCAGCCAGCTGGACTTTAAAGACGCACAGATGACTGAGGAATTCACCATCAATGTCATAAAACAGCAGGCAAAAAGCCTGACTCACAACGGCTTACTGGATGAGCTTAAATGACACGTCACATCTTCTGACTTCTTAAAAAACAAGAATTCAGAAGGGACTAAAGGAGACAGGCAGAGGCTGGATTTGCAGACTCCAAATTGGACCCTTAGGGACCCCAAAGGCCCCAGGTTCACTGTGGGTAATTAGTTTTTGGGGATTTGATTAACCCTTTAACTACTAATGTCCAGGTCATGGGAGGCTGGCACTTTTTAGAACTTCATTGACTGCTAGCACTGTGAGAACATCAACATGAACAGATTATATGCTGGTCTTTTCCGTCAATGTGGACATTTTTTAAAAAGAATGCTTTTTGAGAGAATCCACCTACAGTGCAACAAAACAAAGTGTAACCTTGAAAATATGAAAATTCTCCCTTCCTTCAAACCAGCCCAACAGTTCAACCGTGCGGTAAAAAAACAACCTACTAAAACACTATAACCTGAAATAAAGCCAGCGCTTGCTGCAGTGTAGAAGCCTACATCCTGCATCAGCGATGGGCGTGGTAAAGTGGCAACAGTGATGTCACTGTGTGCAGACACACCCTGGAGTACACCTCTACATCCCTGCAGCCTGGAGTACACCTCTACATCCCTGCAGATATGAATAGTTAGTTAATATAATATTCTATTGTTAATCGTTTATCCCGCCCTGGCTCATTCTACAGTTGTATGGAGGAATATAAAAACAGTAAATATGGTAAATATCATTGGTTGCCTATGTAGTGTTCAGTGCATTCCAGGAGTTATTCTGTTGTTTTTCAGTGTGTCTCGCCTACTTCCTATGCAGCCAGTGGTTTCCTGTGTTTCCCACAATGCCTCCAGAAAAGTGACATGCACTTGTTGCATTCATGGATCTATTCAATCAAATACTGCAGAAAGTGGTCAGAAATGAAGCTATAGCAGCTAACACAATCTGTCTCATGGTTCTATGGAATTTACAATTTAACAGTTAGCTGCTGTGCCAGGTGTTCATTTGAGAGCAAACATTTTCCTGATTAAACACAGCCCTCTTGCAAACAGATACAACTGCCATAATAATTTATTTTCATACCTACACAGGTCTGTTTCAGATCTGACCTGAATGTAGTTACAGCAGTACCACATTTATTTAATAGAGGCTGTCAGACACGCTATATGCAGGCTGTCAGTGATAATGGGAATGTCACACAGCCCTTGCAAGAAATGCCTTGTAAAATCCTCTACTTTAAAGCTCTCTTGATATTCAGCACATAGACATTCACGACACAACAGGAATGAAGGCTGTTTTCTTATCAATAGGAAGTTTAGATTAATTCAGCATACAAATGGTGACAATGGAAGTGAATGTTCCCTCAGATCCACTGTTATTGTTGTAAGGAGCTGTACCTAAAGTGATCTAGTATACTGCAGATCAGGGCATATGGATACGTTTATTAATTACATCAGTGGTTCCCAGACATTTTTTCAGATGTACCCTGTACATGTAGTCCTGCCAGATGAGCTCAAGGACCCCTTCATCCACAATTCCAAATGTGTTCATTTGAGCTGATGTTAAAGTGGATCTTATAGAACAGCATTTACAATATAAAAGTGGATATAAGGTTTTTTCATGTACCACAAGCTTGATGTTTTAAACACATTTTTAGCTAGCTTTTTTTCCATTTTATTTTTTTCCAACTTTATTTTTAAGTTAAGTTTAAAGTTAATTTTTAGTTTTATTGAGCTTTAACTATTTAGACTTATCTGCTTGCTTAGAAACTAGTTTTAATGCACTCTCAAGTATACCTTCCTAAGCCCCGCCCCTTTTTGCTCTGTGCTCCAATAACAGTTGAGCAATCCTCTGTCAGAACCAACCCAGAGAATGCCTAATGAACTGTTGCAGTTCCACTCTGGCTCCATATGAGGGCGCTCACGGTCTATGGAGATATACCCCTCAAAATCCACTTTTCTCAGGATATCATTTTTTGTCTAGTAATTTGAATGTTGCATTCAAAAGGGGATGCAAAGAAATGACACATTGCTGTGTTAAAAAAAACTTGGGCAAAAAATTCCGCCTTAACATTCTGGTCCCGCTTCGGATGCCACGATGCCATCAAGCGGGATCTCTGGTCGTAATCAGTCCTTCACTGACCAATCAGCGTTCATTAGCAGAATGCTAGCGCGTTATGGGCAACAACAACTCGTCCTGTAAGAAATCTAAAGGACATAAGAACTCGTTCATTCAACTTTCGACCTATAACCCATGTTGAACTTTAAAAACTACAATCACATCTGAGATTTCTCAACCACAATCAGGTGAAAGAGACAAATGTAGCCGTCTAGCTCCATCTGCTCCCATTCATTCTGCACTGATGGGAGAGCGCCCCCAGTGGAGCTCTGCTGGAACTGCAACCAGTATTCGGTACAATGGGACTTAATAGAGAGAGGCCAGGCTCTCCGTAGACGGGCTCTGACCAACCTCAGTCAACTTTCTCCATTTTGAAAATGGTTAAAGATAAAAGCAACAAACGTTATATATAGTCACATCTTAAGTTAGCTAATGTATCAAAACGCTAGATAACTAGCTAGCTATTCTACATCAATTGTTAGCTGCTAGTTAGCCAGCATTTTGCTAACATTAGCTGACTTAAGATGTGACTATAAACTGTATATGTCGCTTTTATCTTTAACCATCTTCAAAATGTGGTTGTCTTTCCAACACAGATTAGCCTAGCTTACTGTTGACCAATGTACCAAAAGGGGTGGGGCTTAGGAAGGATCAGGATTTGGGTGTTAGAGCTGACTCAATATGTTGGTTTCTAATTTAATTGTAATTTATATTTTGAATTTTAATTTGTTGAGTTACTCCACAATCTTTTACATACCCCTGGCAACTGCACAAGTACCCCACTGGGAATCTGGGAATTGCAACCCTTATTTATAGAATTTCCTTTTTCTTATGAAATCATTCATAATATCCTGTATCAGGGGATGATTTACTTTGAAAAATAAGTAATAATGCCAAATAAAAGTAGAAAGAGAAAAAAAAGGATTAATGTGTATTTACTCTGTTAAACTACCGCTGTATGCAATGTATTTTTAAAAGGGAATGCTAGGCAGAACAAATGATAAAAAAAACTATCATTTAATTTAAATAAGAGCTTTTTAGTGTATTATGTGGGTGCCGAATTACTCAACTGATGCTACTGTATGTAAGTGGAAGCAGGTCTAGTTATCCTAATCCTGTACAGCTCGTAATACAAAAGAAATAATTAAATGGACACTTTTTAAAGGTGGTTTGGTGTCAAGTTTTATCCACTACACAGAAGGAATGGGGGCAAGAAGGCGTGAATAATATAACCTATAGTAGGCCTGTACAATGAGGAGCCTATGCGCCAGCTCCATAGAGAAGCCCTTTCCTGTGGATGAGTTGGAGGGGAGCAGTCTGCTGCTGTCACATGGGTGACACACTCGATCACAGCCATCAATAATGGATCGAGGCTGGACAAACCTTTATCGGCTTACAGCGCTGGCCGCGCTCATCAAACTACACGACCAAATACAGCCGACTTCATCTTTACAGCTGCATCCGCTTACAACACAATCATCTGCTTTGTGAGGGTGGTAGAAACCCAGCACCGTGGCCCCCGGCTCTCTTCCACCCCTGCAGGACGCAGTTACAGTGAGGCGGTAAATCAACCCACATATTCCCCGCAGGTCCCGCAGACCATCTGCGGCTTACCTGCACAGCTCGGGTGAAGAAGACCCCTGCATCAGAAGCCAGTTTTTTGACGTTGAAATCCATGGTGGCGTACAGAGCTGAGCATACAGGCAGGGCTTGTTTGTTTCCCTGCAGAGGGAATCCTCCGGATCAGCTGAGATGATGTAGCTGCAGACGCAGTAATCCGCTTCGTGGACGATCGGAAATCTGCTCTCCGCCCTGCGTTTAAAGAGACCACAGCACCGGGATGCAAGTCACAACTGCCCCTCCCCCTGACGCCCTGACGCATGTGCTGTACCTCCCCCATAGCCTCTGGTTACACATCTACATGTGTCTGCACAGAACAGTTGGATCATAGGGGACTAGTAGAATGTTAATGTTTGCATGCATTCAGGCCCGGCCCTAACCAATTTGGCGCCCAAGGCCAGATTTTAGGTGCATCGCAGTAAATTCCACTGCCAGTTATATACATACATTGACTCACGCAGGAAACTGAATAGCTTTGTCTTTGACATTTTATTTTATTTTTAGAGAAACAAGTTGCTCAATCAAAACAGTTAAGAAAATAATAAATTAGAAATAAATAATACAAGAAATATAAATAGCCCACACAAAGCATAAAATGTAACCACCTATAAAATAAAAACTGTAAACAAGTGATAAAATAAATTAAACTACACCACCACCTAGTCATCCTCACATCCCCTGCTACAGTTGTACTCTCCTCCTCTTTCTTGCAGCAAAGTCATCTACAACATCATATGACAACTGATCTGAGACCACATGATTGATGCTTATGATGGAAAGTCCACTGAGTTCTTACATCATAGCAGATCTGAGGTAAGGTTTAATGAGTTTGAGCTTGGAGAATCTTCTCTCAGCAGCAGCCACTGTAACAGGAAGAGTTGGGTGTTACAGTCTAATAATAAAAGAAATGATTCCAGGAATAAAATTAAATAATAAAAATGAAAAACCTAAGAGATGCATTACTTTCACTGTACTGTACATGAATGATACACAGTGCAATTTCTTCTGATATACAAATTAGATTAGATTTAATCTTATTGTTGAATTGAATTGAATGGATTAACATTAATGATGTGCACTTTAACATGGCTGTAAAGTTTAACACTATAAACACACTTTAGACAATACTGAACTGTAACACAACAAACAACAAGGCTTCCAACTCTAATATATAAAGGTGTGTGAAAGGAAAAGCATCTGACTGACTGTTACAAGCAGAGCAACGATAGCTAACCAATAATAAATACAAATAATGTAAACAGCTGCTGAATAGATCTAATCTTTACAAATGTCCCTGAGAAATAGAAGGTGGGAGAATTATATAAGTTATATTATTGGCCCCTCTATAACATGAACTGACGTTAAAATTAGCTAACGCTATTATTGATTAGGACACCATGTAAGGTTAAAGGTTACTATCGTTCTACAACAGATAAATCATTTCATCACATTATATATAATAATAATATATTCTCTGAAACTTTCAATATTCCGGTTCCTCTGTCTCCTCCTGATGGATCCAGCCGGCCTGACCAAAAACAACCAATCAGAGCAAAGAAAGGCAGCTGATTGTTGAGATTAATTCCCAGGTCCTCAACAATCATCTATCTTCTAGGCACCAGCCCAAAACATCGTTCTATTTTTCTCTGCTCTGATTGGTTGTTTTTGTTCAGGCCGGCTGGACTCTTGTAAATCCCATTATGAGCACTAGGAGGAGCCAGAGGAACCGGATTGTTTCACAGATTATTTATCTCTTCAACTACTGTCAGGATACAGTGAGTGACATAGTTTCAACAAATACGGCAAAAAGTTATTTTTATAAAAATCCTATATGACATTTTTCATGTGCAGCTACTTTTCCTAATGCAGTCAGTATATAAGGTGTCTCAGACAGATCTCAAAACCTGAACAAATAAAACCAAAATATCTACAGTTAGACACCACTAGGGTTAATGCTAACTGTGTAGATCGACTAATTCATTCATTTGAGTATGTATGTGGAATTAGTAACAATTTTTAAAATACCCTATTATGTATGATTGTTAAAAATAATAAAAAAGACATAATACAGACAGAATTGTATAAAAAGTTCATAAATATCAGGAAACCTCTTTTCTGATCAATATTCACAGGAAATAATCTGCTACCATAAATCAAAAGCCCCAAAACAAAAAAGAAACAATTATAAAGACAATACACACACACACACACACACACACATATATAGTCTTATTATTATTTCCTGTGAATATTGATCAGAAAAGAGGTTTCCTGATATTTATGAACTTTTTATACAATTCTGTCTGTATTATGTCTTTTTTATTATTTTTAACAATCTTATATATAATCATAAATATATATATATATATATATATATATATATATATATATATATATATATATATATGTGTATATATATATATATATATATATATATATATATATATATATATATATATATATATAGTTACATCTAATAGGAGCTGTACCTACCTACTGGTACTGTTAGTAAAAAACGCTAATTGGCTTGCTAACAATTAATGTAGACTAGCTAGGTAGTTAGCTAGCATTTGATAGATAGATAGATAGATAGATAGATAGATACTTTATTCATCCCCAAGGGGAAAGTCACAGTTTCCAGCAGTATCCACAAACTGATAATAATAATAATAATAATAATAACAATAACAAGAGGAGCTAGCTAGCATTAGCTAAGCTATATGTCACTTTTATCTTTTAACCATATTCAAAATGTGCTTGTCTTTTCTACATAGACTAGCCTAGCACATAGCATATCTGAGTACAGGGAAGGAGGAAGTGGACGTTCTCAAAAGGAGCAGGGCTTGGGAACGGTCAAATAATGTACGGAACTGATGATACTGTATTTCTACTGTAGTTCAACAACCTGCAGCAAAGAGAGAAAAATAACACAACATTCCCGTTTTTGAACCACTCCATCTTTATTGCTTATTCATATCTTTACACTAATGGCCTGGTACTATTTAGATCAGGAAAAACTGGAATTCCATAATGTTCGGATCAAATATTCCTCATTCCATTTTGGATTACATTTATCAGCAGTTACAAAAGAAATCAATACCAGAGTGTCGACAGACTTCAGAAAACATTGTGAAATTAGTAGATACAGTTTGTGACACAGCAGTTCTCCTGAAGCATTATTTCACTTTAACTTATTTTTCTTATTTTTTGTTTTGTTTTCAGCACATACATCTTTATAAATAACAATCAAACCCCAACAGCAGCTCTCACTCATGGGTTTTTTCAGCTCTAGACATTATTTCTTCCTGGAAAGCAGAAATTGGAACATTCACTGACTTCCAACTGATCATCTACTTTCCCTAGAGAGAAGTTCACACCTTTACTAGGATCTGTAATAAAACACTGATTCTCAAGAATGACTAAGTCAACAGAGATTTTGTTTTGATCATATGTGAAAGTAAATCCTCTTCATGTCCACACATTGGAGGTCCAGGCAGAAACATCAAGTGAGTCTCTAATAAAGCTTTTCATCTCACACCACGGCCTACTTGAACATTCATTTCCACCAATGACTGTGAAAGAGCGATAGAAACAGAGCTGTGATCAATCAGATTCCCATAAATCACACAAAGAAAAACTGTACATGAGAACCAAGAAGTCAGTGAGGAAACCTGACACAACTGATATGGAATAGCTTTAAAAAACAGGCATCAGGCATCACTCGTGAACATAATCCTCCACTGTGTTTATGTAGGAGTGACACACTGTACAGAGGTTGACACTGGGAACCAGCTCGAGCTACACACACTGTGCTGCCAGTGTGCTACATATTACTGACCACTGTGCAATATACCAGACCTGCTTCATCCAAACCAGAACGTTTTACAACTGGAGGAGAAAACTTTATAAACTAGTGCGATGTATGTTCCTTCACTGGCATAAATGTTAAGGTCCCAGCAGTCCCTGGTTTAGGAGTGCAATGAATTCAAATTGTGAATGAAATCTTCTCGCTCCAACCCACCAATTAAATCCCATTATCAGAATCGGCGCTGCACTCTCGACTGTAGGCGAATTTAATCCCCGCTCAAACTGCTCATCCAAACCCCATTCAGGTCATTCATTAAAGTGAAACTAAATTAAAATGGCAACAATGCAACCTTCGAAGAATTGGGTGGGAACGTACTGTAGCACTGACATGTTTAAACAGAGTTCATATATAAAACTGTGCTCATTGAAATCTGAAACAATTCTGATATTTAAGCTGCAGTAGGTCATTATTGAAAAAATCAGGTTCCTCTGGCTCCTCCTAGTGCTCCTAATGGTATCTGCAAGAATCCATCGGGCCTGAATGAATACAACCAATCAGAGCTAAGAAAGATGGAAAGACACTTTGGGCTGGTGACTTGAAGATAGTTGACTGTTGGGTTCTTTTTATAAAAGTTATCTACTGCAGCTTTAATCAATGCTTCTTTTCTTTCTAAGGTTAATACCTTTGGGATCTAGAACATAAACTAATAAAAAATT